AGTGCTCCTTGAGATGGCATTTCGGGAACACATCAATGATAGGTTACATAAAAATGATACAGCCTATTTTTTTATATTCTAATTTAATATTTTCCATTTACATTTTTTTAAGTTATATTTTTAGGCTTTTTATTCCTTTATCATTTAGACAGTAAAGTTGAGAGATTACAGGGAAGTATTGGGTAGAGAGAAGGGAGCGGGACTGGCACAGGTCCTCGAGACGGGAATCGAACTCAGGTCGAATGAACATCGACCTGTATATGACATACTAACCACGAGGCGCCAACCCATTTACATTTTATATTTGAATTTTTAAGCAATTTGTGGAGAAAAAAGTTTTTAAAACTTTAACTTCCATTAAACAGACAAGTGCTGGTCAGCCGTTAAATTATTTGTAGGCCTTTATTTCTTTATTTATCATTATTTGTTCAATTAGATGTTCATTCAGTGTGAGTGTATAAAAGACATGCAGACTTTAGAAAGCACAATGAGCAAAAATACATTTAAAGAGGACATCGCATGCCCATTTTCCACAAGTTGGTATGATTCTTTAGGGTCTTCATGAAATCTCTGTGACATACTAACCCAATCTCACAGTAATTCATACATATTTAACAAGGTGGCTAATTCGTATGAATTTGTGCGACCTCACTCGTACAAACTCATATGATTTGTGAAAAATCGTACGTATATTACGAGGTGGCAAATTCGTGCGAATTCGTACGAAGGACCACACCTAACCCCGTCCTTAAACTTAACCTCCACAGAAATTGTACAAAATCGCACGAGTGACGTCTTTTTGTACGAATTTGAATGAATTAGCCACCTTGTAAAATACGAACAAATGTCCGTAAGATAGTGTTGACCATACTTTGGTTAAAATTCTTCAATGGTCGTGTAAAAACAACACCCTTTTACCTTGTCAAAAACAGCTCTGTTCATGGCAACCCATTTCGGTGCATGTCTCTTTAGATGATAATGAGCTACTGCTCACCCCACCCCTCTCTTCCATGGGGCGTGTCGACACTAGACACGCGAATATATCCAACCTGACCTCATGGCAATTCGTACATATTCGTACAAGGGGACCAATTCGTATGACCTACAACCTAAAATTTTTGTAAAATCGTATGTATTTTTACGAGGTTCCAAATTTGTAGAAATTTGTGCAAAGGACCAACCCTAACCCCGCCCCTAAACCTACCCCTCACACAAATCGTACAAAATCATACGAGTGAGGTCGTACGAATTCATACGAATTAGTCAAATAATAAAATACGTACGAATTGGTTGTGAGATTGCGTTGATATATCTCATGATAAATGAGATTGTACAAATTCAAACAAATTAAGCACCAATTCACCAAAACATAAAATAGTTACATGAGATTTTTTGTTTAAATTGAGATTGATAAAGCAGTGTGTTGAAGACAGATTAAAGCAAGTAATCAAGCCAAATCTCAGATATGTGCATTACATTAATTTCACTGTGAGTCTTTAATTTGTACCCATATATCAATGGGAGATTTTGATTCTGTAAAATCTTTCTGTTGTTTCCAGTATGGCGACATTGTGTTACAGTAACTTTATATTAAGTGTATGTACAGTAGGGTCCAAATATCTGAAACCACCAGTGAAATTCCAGTAGAAATTTGTCAGCATAAAAATTTTAGTTTTAATTTAATCTAAGTCTATTAGTCCTATTATATTAGATCTAAGTATGCATCAAGGCTGCATATATTTAATCAGAAATACTGTAAAAAAAACAGTAGTATTGTAAAATATTTGTAAAATATTTATTTTATTCGAATGTTTTAAAACATAATTTTGAATTTCCAGCAGCCATTACTTCAGTCTTTGGTGTCACATGATCCTTCAGAATTCAAAACAAACCAAATGCTGATTTAGTCCTCAGGAAACATTCAATTTGATGATGACGTTGATGATGATCATCATCATCATCATATAACATATAACAAGCTACCAAGCAAAGGAAGTAGACAGAATGGGGGGATGAAGATAACACATGGGAAATTGCACAAATGACAGCCAGAAACTCAATTCGCCGGCCTTGATACTTCATTCCCTCCCCTCACACCACAAGTTCAAGTGGCTTTTATAACCTTGTCTTCTTCTAATTCAGCTGCCAGTAATTGGTAGCAATAATTATATAGGCACTCACATTGGTATACAAGGCAGGGTGTGCCCAGGGCAACAATAGGATGATCAACTCCTTCATTACCCATGGGAAACACTTACTTCTCTCTCCAGCTTAGGAAAGCTTGAGCAAAGACAGTGGAAAAACAAAATTGCAAGCATGTAACAGACAGTGTAATGTCACTCCTTTTGGGAACCATTTCCTAATATTCTAAGAACAATCTTTTAGGTTTTAGTTTTATTACAATACATTCCACAAAAATTGTTATCTGGATCTGCCCTGCTCACCTAAAGGTAACTCTTTAAAGGCAGAGAAAGAGAGAGCTCTTCTGAAGTAATTGCAACTTTAGTAAAGTATGAAAGCGCATAGTCTGGCTTGCCACCTTCTATGAGGCTTAAGGGAAAAATGATAGTGTTAGAATGCACTATACAACACAATGACAGAGGTGACTGATGCAGTAGTCAGGAGTCCATTATATGCCTCACAGATGAGGTTAATGCCGTGACAGCGTATAGGGACAGACTAGAGCTATGAATCTCCTCAAAAGGTCAATCATATTCAGCATTGCTTTTCATATTTTATTTATATAGCTCATTGTTTGATGGCTGGGTGGTCATGTGGCACTTGCTGAATCTTTTAACTTATTTTTAATGCTATTTAAGACTGCCTAAGAGCCAAAGCTGTTAAACCCAATCCAAGGATCAGAAAGACAAAACTTTGAAATACAGACGGCAAACAATTCAATGACTCAGTGTGCAATACCCATTAAATCAACCAAGCTCAACATATATATCTCTGCGGGGAGATTCATAAGCTAGTTTGAGCAGGAGCAATTATGTGAATAGCGTGCACTCTGACTCCCCTGTCTCACTGTGCTTAAATTGATTTGGTTCATTATGGATCCAGGTAAGCATCCAGCATATTCTGATGAAACAGCCTGCTATGTGTTTAGTCACTCTTACACAGGTTATTACATGGGGGATTTTTGGAGGGGAGATGTTGAGTCATCCACAGGTAAATTGCAGTGGTATTGGACAGTTCAGATAGTTTAAAAAAAAGTAAGTTCTAGTGAATTAAACATGAGCAAACATCAGGCAAGAATTACCTCTTTCTTTCTAGATAGACTTAATGCTCCATTTTTCTTTAAAAGAGTAAACACCTAGCACCAATAAATGGTTAATCATTAGCGAAAAGAGCTATCATTTAGGAAGTTGAGTAAACACTATAGGCTTGAAAGGCTTCCTGGAATGTGAGGAATGTTCAAGTTCCTGTACACAAAGAATTAAAGTGTGGAATTACAGCCTCTGTAGTAGGCTATTATTGCATTGAAATAAAGCATTAGCCTACACAAAAGTTAGATCCGGGCATCGATTTTAATTGCCTGAGCGGCGTTCCAAAATTATTGTTTTTTCAATAGCGTTAATTGAGACTTTTTATTGTGTGTATCATTCCGCTTGTCCGTCATTCATTCATTCATTCAGGAACTTGACTTTGTGGGCAATGACTAAAAACACAAGACTCACAACAGTGAAGTTGTTTGTGGAGGCTGGGAGCTAAACAAAATTCGACAAAGTAGCCTAACTGGCAATACTGTATCTATGTAAGTTAATTTCACTCTTATTTATTAAACTGTTTAATACAGATTACACTTACATAAAGTTTAAAATGGTGAACACTGATAACAGTTTTTTTGTTGTACAGAGCCAAGTGACCAGCTTCTACCATTCATAAAGGTAAAAGGTAGGTTAAGGTTTACTAAACTTGAACTTTGCTAAATCGAAGAGACTTCTTCACACAAGTGTATTCGCTCTCCAGTGTTCGTAGTGTTTTAGCACTGCTGGAATGGCTTAAAAATCAGTGTCCAAGGCGAAACGGTCTGTTATAAAAAAGATTGTAGGCTATATGGGTTACATCCCAAATTACTCATCTAATTTTCGTACATCTATGCAACTTTAGTAAAGTATGAAAGCGCATAGTCTGGCTTGCCACCTTCTATGAGGCTTAAGGGAAAAATGATAGTGTTAGAATGCACTATACAACACAATGACAGAGGTGACTGATGCAGTAGTCAGGAGTCCATTATATGCCTCACAGATGAGGTTAATGCCGTGACAGCGTATAGGGACAGACTAGAGCTATGAATCTCCTTAAAAGGTCAATCATATTCAGCATTGCTTTTCATATTTTATTTATATAGCTCATTGTTTGATGGCTGGGTGGTCATGTGGCACTTGCTGAATCTTTTAACTTATTTTTAATGCTATTTAAGACTGCCTAAGAGCCAAAGCTGTTAAACCCAATCCAAGGATCAGAAAGACAAAACTTTGAAATACAGACGGCAAACAATTCAATGACTCAGTGTGCAATACCCATTAAATCAACCAAGCTCAACATATATATCTCTGCGGGGAGATTCATAAGCTAGTTTGAGCAGGAGCAATTATGTGAATAGTGCTGTTCAGTTGCTTTGTCACAATCTGTATTGTTAAAAGCACTATATAAATAAATAAAGGTGACTCATAAATGCTGTTTTTAGTAGACCTAATACATGGCCAGTCAAATGTTTTGAGTCAACAAGAAATGTGGCTATAGTGTTTCTTCAGTAGAACACAAACGAAGATTTTTAACACAAACCGTTGCAGTCTGTCAGTCTTCTTCTTCTTCTTGCTTTACGGTGGATTGCAGACTTATAAGTGCATTACCACCACCTATCTCTCAAATGGACCATTGACACTCTATCTACAATCTCAATTAGGAGTGTCAATAGCCCCCTTGAGAGATAGGTGGCGTTAATGCACTTATAAGTCTGCGATCCACCATAAAGCAAGAAGAAGAAGAAGACACCTCACGCGCCTGCTGTTGAGAACGTGCTCAGGAGGACGTGCCGCTGCTCAGGACAGTTCAAACAGTTCGGAGGTAAAAAAACTATATACTGTTCAATTTCTTGCACAGATCGTTTTGTGTCTTTATACATCAATGTATCGTCACGAGCTGCAGGGTTTAATTTGGTTTTGTTTGTGTATGTTTTTTTTTTACTCTCAAAGCCGTGATTCCCATTCACCTCCATTATAAGACTGACAGCAGTCAATGGTTTGAGTTAAAATCGTTTGTGTTCTACTGAAGAAACAAAGTCACCTACGTCTTGGATGCCCTGGGGGTAAGCAGATAAACATCAAATTTTCATTTTTGGGTGAACTATCCCTTTAAGATTGTTAGTGAAACCACATACGCTGAGCTGATTGACCAGTATGGTGGATTGGCAGCTGAATACTGATGAACTTATATTTGAAAAACACAATCGCCCCTGGGACCCCCCTCTCCATGCAAAGCAGAAGAGGTTGGCAGAGACCACAGAGTGTGGCCTCTCATTTCCAATCACTTGGGAGGCTTAATGAGAGACAAACACCAGGCGCTCCCTCAGGACCATGAGGGATAAATTCATGCTCAGTGATTAAAATGGTAGACAGCACAGGTGTTGAGTTTGCTCAGTGTCAGGGACATCACAACTTTCCCGTGCTGAGTTGAAAAGGGTTTCATATTGAGTTTAGTTTTAGGCTCTTTATGTCTTCAGGCTAAACATGTGCTAGACTGCCATCTGCTGGTAGGAGCAGAATCAAACCTGCTTAGCCTGAATTTGCTTGACTCAAAAATCAGAGACAGTCTGTGCAAGAACTATAAATACTTAATCATATTTTAGGTGTCTGTGTGCAGTGGTAGATATAAAAAGACAGGAAATGTTTGGAGATTTAAAAAAATTTCTTAAAAATGACTAATCCTTTTTTTCCTTTTGTCTGTTTAGTTAACTTGATGTTATTTTTTGCCAGGCGTGAATCAGATGACTGCTCATTGAAGGAGAACGAACAGAAATGATGAATCACCACATGATGTATGTAACATAAAAGTACACAGACAAACACACACCAATGAAATATGTTCACAGGATATGAACATCTTCATAACCATTCAAATTCAATTTGTCTTATGCAGGCATAAAAAAGACAAATGACAGAGAGTAATGATGTAGTTATTACAGTGAAGCCGAAAAACAAAAGCTTGGTTCATTATGGCAGAATTGATATTATTTCACTCCACTGACTTTCAGAGATCATCCCAGGATAGTGTTTATCTTTCTCACAGGGCTGCACTTTGGGTAGATATTTTTAACTTTGAAGGATAAAACCCAGCATGCAACATGGGTTGTGTATGCTTATGTGAAGACAAATCCACTATCATATCAAGCAAATTATAAGATATACACAAGTGTGAAACTGCAGTGTTGGTTTTTGCAAGTTTTCAGGTTAGCACCACACACACACACACACACACAAAAGCACTCGTGTGTTTTTTACATCCCACTGGTGATTCAATTCTCACACTGTTCTGCTCAGTGATTGAGTCTTTTTCTATTATAGCCACTTATTTGAAGAGGAGTGCTTTTGAGAGGAGCCTCAGTTGTGCTGTCACTGCAGCCTGAAGAGATACAGTAAAAGTACCTTGAACCTGGTTACCATACAAGTGGGTGGTATTTCAAAGATTTCCAGTAGCTTTTCTAATCTAATTTCACCTTCCCTTCAAAGATTTGTTTTTCATTTACCACCTCAATTCTCCAGCCTCTAAGTACCCTCACACTTGAGGCTGGATATCTCAAAGGGTTTATTAAAATATATCATAAGATATTTTGCTCAAGAAAGTCGTGACAAGTGGGTAAAACAATATAAATCCTCCTGCCACCCTCCATTCCCCTTCTTTTAGAGCTGCATATTTTGACCTATATTCAACAAGGCTGTTGTTTGATATTTAAAATAAAGAATATTTTGTAAACTTTATTTTGTAAAATTGTCTATTTTAGATGTTTTGTTTTGTTCATCATTATATGCTAATTTTAATGTCACATGTATTTAGAATAAAGAATATTTAAAAATTCCAATTAAGATAATATATCTATAGTTAACTAAAGCTAAAACAAAAATTAAAACAATTAAAACATTTTTGTTACTTAAAATACAATAAATGTTAACTGAAATAACATAAGAAATTTAGTAATGATGCACTAAACTAAACTACTAAAATGACAAAACATCGCACAATTAAATTAAATTAAATTGAAAAAAGAAAATATTAAAATAAAAACTCATTCAAAATATTAATAAATATTAGTACCCCAATTATACTATAATAACAATGGTTCAAATAATATAATTTTTAATTCGTTTTTATATTATTTTAATGTCATATGTATTGTACTTGTCAGGGAATAATAAAATGAATCTTTTTTGCCAGAACTTTTAGTAAATTCCATTTCAACATCCTGCAGGTTGTGGCTGCAACTGAAACTCAATTCTTAAATGCAATTTCAGTATCCAAAGCTGATCAATCATATACAGCTGTTCAGTCACAATATCAATTCGTAGGCAAACCAGGAAATCTAGTTATGCTATAGGGAAAAAAACTCAAGTAATGTTAACTACACACTTTATTTTACTCGTAAACCAAACACCACCATTCTAAAAACTCATAGGAAACTGACTCGAAGCTATCTTGAAAATGCAAAATCTCTTCCATTTCTGAGGATTACCAGATTTAATGCTATGCATTACTAATTCTGTACCAGCAGGTGGCAGGATTCAACACTTGTTTTTTTTTTTGTTTTTTTTATCAGACCCAGATTAATTTTTTTCAGTGGCTTTACCTATTCTGTTCGATGAAATCCATCTGACAGAGTGGTTAGCTACTGCTTTATATTTGGTGAAAAGTATCAAATGAGGCTTTTAGATAAAGTGCAACGTGACCTTTAGTTTCCCAGAGAATAATCACAATAAAAACAGCACTAACACTAAGCCCATCAGACTCTTGATTCTGTGCACACCATGGGGTGAAATCCCAAAGGGACTTCGGTGGGATTGGACTTTAGCTACTTAGCCCATCACCCTGGCCCAATAATGAGAGCCACAGGGGGGTGTTAAAGCTCTTTCCTCAGACCTGACTTAAAAGAACTCACTGGTTATCAAAGAAGCAAAGCCGTGTTTACAGTACAGTTCTCCGGCAGGCTCTGTTACATAACCCCCTTCAGAGTAAATCTGTAAAATCAACAGCGTCACCTGAGAGGGGTCTAGATTGAAGCGAGAGCCCACTGTCAGTCGACAGGTGATTATGTTCCTCATTAGGGAACAAGGACAGTAAGGAATTCTTATCACCTGCCACAGCAACCTTCACAAATAAACAACGGCATCTTTTCCAAAACATCCAGAAAGTTTTCAGACAGTCAAAAGCTTAGAATAAACCACTGACATAAAACTATATTGTCGCCCAGCTCTTTGTATAAAGTCGGATACAAGTATGTCTACCCATGTAGAGCAATATATACTATATATCACTAGAAAGTGATATCATGGATAGAGGACATGTATTTTAGCAATAATTTGAAGTTAAAAACACCTTGATGGATTTGTTTTTTCTTTTCACTTCACAAGACAACTTTTGGATGATTTTATCAGCTGTTTGGACTCTCCTTCATACGGCACCCATTCACTGCAGAGGATCCATTGGTGAGCAAGTGATGTGCAGTCATGGCCAAAAGTTTTGGCAGTGACATAAATTGTGTTTTGCACAAGTTTGCTGTTTCAGTATTTGTAGATTATTTTTCCACGTTTCTATGACATACCGAAAAACATCTTTGCTGCCCTTCTTGACACCAGGCCGTTGTCCAAAAGTCTTGGCCTCACTGTGCGTGCAGATGCTCAGCCTCTCACACCAACCTGCTGCCATTCCTGTGCAAGCTCTGCACTGCTGCTGACACGATTCTGTAGCTGACTCCTCAGGAGGAGACGGTGCTTGCTGGACACTCTGGGACGTCCTGAAGACTTCTTCACTGCAGTCGAACCTCTCTCCTTGAAGTTCTTGATGATCCGGTGAATGGTTCTTTCAGGTGCAATATTCTTTGTAGCAATTTCCTTGCATGTGAGGCCATTTTGATGCAAAGCGATGATGGCTGCGCGTGTTTCTTTAGAGGTAACTATTGCTAACAAGAACACAATGATTGGAAGCGCTTCTTCCCTCCTTTTAGTCTGCTCTTACAATCTATTTAGTATGACTAGTACTCATTCACACTTTCACATGTGCTGCTGATATGATTAGTCAATTAATGTTAGCTGGTAATTTTGTGTCAGGATCAAAAAACAGTGAAATTTGTTTTTTTTGTGAAAAGTTCATTTTTTGGCCAATGAAGCTTTTAGCAATTATTTCAAATGCATCTGATCACTCTACACCATAATCTAGAAACGATGTGAATGAACACCACAACAGCTTAAGCAGCAAACTTTGCAAAACACAAAATTTATGTCACTGCCAAAACTTTTGGCCACGACTGCAATGCTAAATTTCTCCAAATCTGTTCCAATGATAACAACAGACTCATTTACATCTTGGATGACCGGAGGAGGAAGTTGGAGTTGCTGGAAAATAAATATATGGTTTACAAAGTCTTTATTGGTTAATGACAAGTCCAAGAATAATTTTACATGGAGGGTACTTTATGCTTTATGAAGTCGTGTCTTTCATATTTCAGAGTTAATCTTTGAGGTGACTTGGCCCTGAGATTTTCCAGCTTGAGGAGAATGAACTTCAAAGTCAGTAGGAGAAGGGAAGAGCCGTGTGGGAGGACTTGGCTTGACATTGGAGATGTGACTTCAAATGCCCACAGGGTCAGCAGATCACATCAATATACGTGATAAGAAACGAACATTTCTACCATTAGTTCATGAGATCGTGACAAGGTGATATGTCACTGTCTGCAATCTAGAGATTACTTTTGGAGGGGTTTGAGATCCATGTGTTTTATCATCAAAGGATGACTTACTTTCTCTTTCAAGACACCACGTTTTTCTTTAAACTAAAGTCTGACTTTAAGAAGAAAAGCTTTTATATGTGGCTGCTGCCATTACTTTGAGTGGCCGAGATGGATCTAGCCTATATTCAAAACACTATATTCACATGTACAGTAATTTATTTGATGTAAATTGCATTTCAACTCCAATACCATAAATAACAGAAGTAAACAAGAAAGGTCATATAGAGGGATGTATAACTAACCCGCATATTTTCACTTCACTCGTTATTAGCTTCTTTTACAGTGGTTCCTCAGATCTGATTGTTCCTCATAGGGTTTAATGTAGTGAAGCTGAGGGAATACTGCTTCTCGTGATGTTTGTGCAGATAGAGAGATGAGCCAGTGCAGATGATGGAGATTGAGGGTTTTAGATGGTTCTCTCCTCCTGCTGGGAACTCAGTGGGAGTCCCACTCTAGTCACTGGGGAAGATGCCACTTTGATACGTGATTGTGGTTTTAGCTTGAGGTGGTTTCAGATCATTGGCTTTGCAGAAAACTATCTAATTTGTGGTGTATGCATGTAACAAACTAAAAACTACAAAAATAAATAAGTAAAATAAATACAAAACTTAATAAAGACTCCATACTATAGGCATATAAAAAAGAAACTAAATATAAACTAAGAAAATATAAAAAAAATATTATTCAAAATATTATTTAATAAAAACAAATGATAGTACATCAATGGTACTAAAATAACACTGCATGTGACTGAATAATTTGAATGTTAGGTAAAACATAAAATTATACTAAAACTTTTAGTAAGTCAGGGCTGCAGACTGCGACAAAAATAAAAATGTGTGACAATAACGTAAAATCAGGAAAGCTTTGTATTCATCCATATGCAGTTTCAGTATGTACTGTATTATCTCTAGCATGTGCTAGCATAACATGAGCCGTGATGTTCGATTTGCAAAAAGTGACTTTTATGAACCAGTTCTTTTTAATGAGTCAAAACG